CTCACTGCTTTTCATATAAATATTTCGTAAGCCAAAATGGACAGAATTAAATCATTGATAACCAACAGCAAAAGGAGGAGGACAAACAAGAGGTGTATCGTTATCCACATTAATATCATCTGAAAGCACTGATACAACTCTTATTTGAGCAAAGCGATCATGTGTAAAATTGTTTATCCAATTAAACTTTGGGCCGTGTTTCCAAGAAAAAGGTATGATACCTGTATGGCATAAGATAGCGTGTTTCCAAAAAGAAGGTATGATACCTATATAGCATAAGATAGCGTATTTCCAAGAAGAAGGTATGATACCTATATGGCATAAGATAGCGTGTTTCTAAGAAGAATGTATGATACCTGTATAGCATAAGACAGTGTATTTCCAAAAAGAAGGTATGATACCTATATAGCATAAGATAGCGTGTTTCTAAGAAGAAGGTATGATACCTGTATAGCATAAGATAGCGTGTTTCCAAGAAGAAGGTATGATACCTATATGGCATAAGATAGCGTGTTTCTAAGAAGAAGGTATGATACCTGTATAGCATAAGATAGTGTGTTTCCAAGAAGATGGTATGATACCTATATAGCATATTCTAGTAAATAAGTATAAAACACTTATTTCATGGGTCAAATAATTTCAAACAAACACCATCCTTCCCTGGAGTAGAATAGTTAAGTTACGGTTATTTAGTTCTTGACAGAGTTTAGATAAAATGAAACTTCATATAAGGGGGAGGGATGAATGAACATTTTCATGATTTTCAACTGTTTTTACTCGCAATTCCAAATAAATTTGTATGAGTTGAAAAATATCAGAATTTTCATCATTACTAATCTGAACAAAATGTCTTGCTAGTAGATTTGCCTCTTCAGGATCATAAGAGTAGAAAATGTCATTTGTACTTTTTATAGTAGGAATGAAAATCGTTCAGTAAACATTATTCGATCTCTTAATTAATCCACAAATTATCTAAAATGTAGAAAGAGTAGAGCAATATTTCTATTATTTCTAATAAATTCTCTAACTTTAATAATGCTTTTTACAATAGCCTTTATCTATTGATATTAAACCCATTGTATAGAGTTTCGAGTGACTGAACTTTTTCTTTAGCCCTCTCTCTATCTGTAATGGCTTTATCACAAACAATATTCCAAAAAAGGGTATATTTGTTCTTAGAAATAGTATTTGTTTTTAGTATGATACTGATAATAGTTTTCAAAATAGAAGTAGTGACATTTTCATTAAATAGTTCAGAATCATCTGAAGTGCAATTAAAAGTGACTGTTTCAACAGTTTTATCATTTGGCTTTATGAAAAGACAAACGTGGTATACTTTGGATTTGGATATTTGTGGATATTTCACTCATAGACTTAATAAGAAAAAGTAGTCACGGCCACAAAACTCCAACTAAACTTCCTGAAAAACTTGTTTGTAAGAGTGGGAGGTTCAAACGACTTCGATCTCCATTTCGTTTAAATATGTTCTTATACCATTATTCAATATAACTAGTATATTCTGCTCCAAAAAAATTTCCTGACTACTTTCCCACTCTAGTCTTTGTTAGGGCTATCCCATAACGGGATTTCAACATTGAAATGATCATATATAAAATTGGACGGCTTAGAAGAAATGTCCAAGAAAGATTATTCATCAAATATCAGGATTGTAAATGACCATACGAAGTGTAAATTAAACTATAATACATTCAACAGTGTCATAACTATTTTATACAAAATAAACGAGGTCATCTCGTACTAGTGTAACTACACATCTACGGCAATTGTCTCCATCTTTTTAAAAATATTGTATTCATTTAAAAATAGGTTCAAAGAGGATTTGAGAAAAGTTTTTCAATACAAATCACAAGCGGAAGATTAGGCTGCTCACAAATGTTTTCTTAATTTCAACTCCAGACAAAACACTCAGTATTCCATTGAACTATACAATTAATGTTATCAGAGCCATAAAGTAAAGTAAGTACCTTTTCTGGAATGATGCTAATTCTGAAGATGGAATTAACCAAATCAAGTGTATTTTTTAATCTTATTTGAATAAGATTTTTTCATAAAGTTTTTCCCTCTCTGGTGTAAGAAATAATTTTGATTAGAATAGAAATCTGTGAAATCAATATCTATAAGAATCTGGTTTGGTTTGTTTTGAATTTCGCGCAAAGCTACACGAGGGCTATCTGCGCTAGCCGTCCCTAATCTAGCAGTGTAAGACTAGATGGAAGTCAGCTAGTCATCACCACCCACCGCCAATTCTTAGGCTACTCTTTTAACAACGAATGGTGGGATTGACCGTCACATTATAACGCCCCCACGGCTGAAAGGGTGAACATGTTTGGTGGGACGGGGATTCAAACCCGCGACCCTCAGATTGCGAGTCGAGCGCCCTAACCACCTGGCCATGCCAGGCCCTTATAAGAATCTGTATTTCAACATCTTTATGATTTTGTGTTCTAGCAGCTTCTGTTACTAATTTTTGATGCTGTTGTTTGAGAGTTGCTACAGAAGAAACATGTTTAATAATTCTAATGTTATTTCCAATTTTAGCTTTGTCACATACCCTACAACCACTGAATGCTGCAAAATGTTTAGGGATATCTTTCTTTGATGTTACTCAAATATATGATTTTCATCCCAACACACACAGCACCTGAGTGAATGGCAATTTTTCACAAATTGTCTATATCTCTGATAATTATAACACCTTACCGGAAGTGGAGTAAATTTCTTTACTCGAATAGACAGTATCAAAGAAACACTGAGGTAGTCAAAGCTAACCACACCAGATTCAGTCTCCACACCATTTTCCCCAATCTTAAACACGCATAATACAGCCGGTTGCAGATCGACACTCAGGCTTTTGTCATATGAACTTATTGGTACATTGTCGGTAGTGCCTTTAACCTGGAAAGTTTAACAGTCATTTTGACTGAAAAGCAGTCAAACAGACGAAATTCCTTTGTCAAATTAAACGGTTTTCTGTTTAATAGTATTTTAAAAAACAACTGATTCCAGAGGGACAACCTTTTACACAGGCCCATTTTTAGCACTGATAAATTTATAAATCGAAAATAGATTCGACTTTTCCAACTTAACTACGATCGACTCCATAACAATCATTATCAGAGATTTGCTTCGTTTAAATTATGAGCTCAACTCAGAATCGGATCTGCGGGAAGCTCGTTGACATCCTTGAAAAACATGGAAGTCATCCTCCACGTCTGAAAAGTTTTCACCTGAACCATAATCACAATCTCTGTCACTAATGCTTTAAACGTTGCTGTAACGATCGTTTTATACACTCCTTGTGATCGTAATCATCACCACATGGTCGATCTCATTTTGAATAACTTACTGTGTAAAGAGCACGATAATAAAGCAAGGAGTTGCTAACAATGTGAGTAGGTGGTGTATATTTGTACAAGATATCTTTACGAATATTGTCTATACAAAAGTCAATACATGTTACATAATTATGATTATATTTTACATTTTTCAGTTACAAGACAATAAAATTAAAATATTCCACTGAAACATTACAATAAAACAACAACATACTTAACATAGTGAGAGTTAAACTGATCGGCAAATCTAATAAATCTCCCTAGTGATCGTATTAGAAATTAAAAATATTAAGAACATTGCCAATTTTACGTTTGAGTCAATATTTTCAAAAGAACAACTTATATTCATTTTAATCCCCCCCAGTGACACATGACGCTAAAAACCTTGGTTCGATATCTGTGGCGGGAAAAACACGACTGGCTATGTGTGGCTTTGGACTTAAAAACAATCAAACAAACAAATATTCATTCTAATCGTCCTAAGAACTAGAAAACATGAAACATTTATAGCCAAAATTATTAAATTATAGAGACATAAGTAACGTGTTTTATTTGGAATTAAAGAAAAAACAGGGAGAAAACGGAAAGTATAAAATATATTCCAGAGTTTCGACGTTGCATTGAAACTTACTTATGATAAAACGGCATTATTAAAAACAAAACAAAAAACGATATCAGCCTAGCATATGCTACATTTTCAATTATCGAAAGGGTTAGAGTTTCATCTATTCTTTAAATATGATTTCTTTGTTTTGTAGAGTTCTCTCGCAAATGTATGTAGGGAATATCTGCGTATAAACGTCACTAATTTGGAACTGGCAGACCCAAAGGAAGCAGCAAGCCAACAACACTCTCCTTCAACTCGTAGGCTCGAATATGACCGAAGAGTGGAATATGATAATGATCATTAATATGATAGTGTACCCACAGATCCCAAATGCATGGCGTATTTTTGCAGAAACGGAAAGTGAACTAGTTACCCTCGAACTCACTGTTCGAACTCGTGTACGGCTAAATCACTCCCGTCCCTTAATGTGATTGACCAATCGTTTTGATCTGACATGTTCTATGTTATCGTGGATGTGACTTCATACTATGTACTTTAGTAAAAATCACAACTTGTACTAAAATCGATTAACAAGCTTTAAAAATATCTTTAACAGTAGCGCTAGATAAAACTACATAATTTTGGATTAACACGGTTAAAGTTTCGTTCTACTTCCTAAACTAAAAAAGGCTGATATGTTCATAATATGTGTACTCCTATTTTATGCAATAAGCAGGTTTCTATCTGGTCTTTTCAGTCGCCGTGTTATCTTGTCGCTTGATGAGATAATGTCTAAGTTGACAATAACTTTTACTGTAGCTTGATTATACATTAAAATAAGCAGTTATAATGCCATAAAGAATGGCATGTATTTTATGAGGAACGCGTCACACTAAACTCCCATTACATATATTTAAGTTTTTGTTTTATTCTAAATGATATTAACTTGTCGATTGCTATGTTAACAAATTTATTTCTCTTTAAAATATGCGCTTTTAACACTGTTTGGATCACCCATTTTTAATTGATCTATTGGAAATTGAAAATAACTCACAATGTATTATGAATGACTAGTTTGTAGGATGAAGTAAACATACCTAATAGCATCCACCATGCTTAACCCCATGTGGACACAAAGGACCGCATGGTCGGGCCTCTCCTCGGGAGCGCCACTGATGCAGTAGTAGCAGTCTCCTAGGATCTTTATGCGAAGCTGGTGATATTTCTAAAACCACAAAAACAAATGGAATATAGAAAATAATTTCAAACATATACGTCAATAATCCCCTTTATATACATATATATATGTTTAAGATTTTTTAAATTACAAAAATTTCCACAAATATGAGGTAATTTCTATTAAGTCGAAGCATAAATTACGCAATTCCCGAACAAAGGAAAAGCTGTATTTTTGTTACTTAATTTATAGTTTTGGTAATAATAAGTATCAAGAGTTATTTGCAAGATGCGTATTGGATATTAAATTCATTTTATAAGAATACTTAGGTGTTGAATCTTAATTATATAGACTTATAAAAAGTTGGACTACATCTTTTATTAAAAAATCCGAAAGTTTTTCTTAAGGATTAATATAGGTTTTTGATGGAAGTATTTGAATAGAAAAATTAGTGTCCAGATCACGTTAAAGTGGAAATTATGATTAAGCTATGTTAGGTAACGAAGGCAACTTAGATAACATTTTAACAGAGACTAAGCTTTATGTAACATCAATGTCTCAAACTAATTTTATTTTACAAGTTCTAAAAATTCATATTTTTTTGGTTTTGTTATATTTATAATACCTAACAATGTAAAAGTCAGAATAGAAATGCATCTAGTTCTCCAAGTTAATAAAAATATTCAATCTAAAATATATACCGCTAACTGTGTTTTTTGGTTGTTAGTTTTATCGCAAAGTTACATAACGAGATATGTGGGACGATTTTGCTGTGGATATCGAACCCCGAATTTTAACGTTATAGTCTTTCAAGCGTATCGCTGAGCCACTAAAAGACCCTAACAACAATGAAAATAAAAATAATTGTTAACACTCATGTACATTGACTTGATACATTTTTGTGAGTAATGATGAACCATATTCAATCCCCTAATCTCTTTACTCCTACAAAAAAGAACAAGTATAAAAAGTAACTTAGTGAAAATATGTCATTAATTTTATTACCCAAAGAGATTCTAACCACTTAAAAATGAAATTAATCAAGCAATTTACTTTTTAATTTAGTTTGTATCGCACTTTCAGTGTTATGTATTTTCCTGCCATCTATGATAAAACTCAACCAACTGACCCAAAATATACTATTATTCAAAATTGGTTGTTAAGAAAACCTGTAAACCTTATGTTAAAAAACATTAATTAGATTTGATGAAAGCTTCTGGAAAATTATATCAAAATAAAAATAAACATTTTTTATGTTTTGTTGGGATAAATGCCAACAAAATATGCATGAAACCAATTGCTACATTCACTGTTCATATAAATATCTTCTCCATTTGATAAATGTCAAGGTTTTCCTTGTTCATGGCAAGATTAAGCGTCAATACCGTTTTCTTGTCGCATTTGTTTTCTTCTGGTTTTCGGAAAGCTGATTTGAGAGGAATAAAAAATTGTAAAGGAAATCATTTATCTGTTATTCTTCTTTCAATAAATAGTGCAATATATTTGCTGTAGATGAATACAGCTTCTTTTGTTTACTCTTTGTCTCTCTGCATAATCTGTGGTAAGATTTTTGAAATATGTTCAGTGTTTTTGTAAAACTATATACACTTTCTTTTTTGGAATTAGTTAAGTCGCGTTTGACGATTTTGCCTTTTGGGTTAAGTTTTGTTTGTTGTTAAACACAAAGTTATATTATGAGCTCGCGGGTATTTAAACACTGAGTGAGGGTAGCTCATGCTTAGTCTGTCTCATAAATTTATTACTAATGCAAAGTATGAGAAGTCGACAAAACTGTTTTGACATTTAGTTTTGAAGTATTAAAGTTTTATTATCTAAATACCTGCACCATCGATCAAACAATATTTATCTGTAAAAAGAGAAAAGAAAAATTTGTCGAAACGGAATTCAAATGGAAGTGCTTGTCTACCAACAGATGCATAAACTTGACTGTCTTGAGTACTTCAAACCAATGTATACATATATAATTTATTTTAACTTTAACAAAGCACATAGAAGCTTTTCAATTATTGTAATTACGCATAAATAAGAGTGATGACAATACTCCTGACAGCTAGAAAGACTGTCTAAATGTTTGATGTATAATATAAATCTGAAATTTAAATCATTTCATTGGTGTTTCTTTCATCTTAAGTTTATTTTCCTTGTATTTCCTAAACATATCACACTGCCTTCGGTAAGGCTGAATAAGTGTTATACAAGCATCTTAAACTTACTTTATCAAACTAACATATATGATGGAAAAATCATTAACGTCGCAATGCTCTTTTTTCACGCAATTTTCGCGTCGGTATAAAATAAAGATTATAAAAAAGCAATGTTTAGATATCACATTCAATACATCGGCCATACAAATTAACCTTTTGGCTAAATTATTAAAACATTTCAAATTAAATAATGTAATTAAAAAGTAAAAAGTAGTTAGTACATTTTCAAATAAATATAATAATGTGTCAAGATACTGAACAACTTTTACGACGAACTTATTTGAGAAAAGCTTCATGAGACACGAAGTTACACGAACAAATAAATTTCTTTTTTTATAACTTTCAAGTAACACAAATCTATTGTAAGTTTCTTTAAATACGTGAACTCGATTACGATTTCATAGCTTCATGAATATTAAGTAAACAAACGGCAATGTCTTACTTCTGCTAGATTATCAAATCGAGCAAACAACTCATTTAGAGTCCTGACAAGTTCAGCTGCAGGGCAAGTGGAAGAAATCGCAGTGAATCCAACAATATCGGCAAATAAGATGCTGAAAATGACAAGAAAACTTTGTATTATGCATATACATTTATTCGTCATTACCGAACTAGTAAATTGCATTTCAATGTTTGTACTGTTCAGCGAAAAATCAGTTAATATATGCATAGAAACTAACATTCCATTGTTAACAGTTGGTGCGTAGTTAATTATTCATTATTTACTTGATGAGGTAGATAAAAAGTAATTATTTCACTTCGTATCCATTCACTTACGTATGCAAATAGATGCTCTTCAGTTCCATTAACGTTCTGAAAGATATATTTTAATCTATACATTTAAAAACTAAGATTGTCCAACATCCAGACTTCTGATCCCCACGAAACTTTCAGGAGGTTTTTGATATGTCCAAGAGAGATTCTAAGACCTCATTTTTTTCATCTTTCACCAAAGAAATAAATGCCGTACCTAGCATGGTTACCTTTGCTAGTGAGAAATAAATATTTTTAGAGGACTGTAAGCCTGGTCAAGTCACCTCTTTCCCCCAGTCAGGCACCAGCGGCTAATGGTCACACTTCATCTGAGCGTAGTATGTATATTCTTCTGATTGAACTTTTTATAGACAAATAAAACAGATTGGGTGTGGTGTACTGGATAACATTCCGAATTTCATAAGGGATGGTCCAAGGTTTGAGGTGTGATATCTGTTAAATACATTGTGTGATTTCAGCTGTGGAGTCGTTCTGAAAGTGACAGCTTTGTTATTCGGTGGTGAGTAACTACATATAAAGCAGGTGTTGCTCTCCTTCTAACTAATATTTCTAAATTAGAGACGGCTAAATTTAAGCCTTACAGTTCTATAACCTCGTTGTTTAGCCCGTGTATCGTATAAGATCTCGTTCAGGATAAAAATAAAAAATACCAGAGTGAATAAAATGATATATTACAGCTGTATTGAGAAAGAATGTAAATGTTCTATAAATCAGGTTGAATTAGTTTGTTTGTTTGAAGTTAAGCACAAAGCTACACAATGGGCTGTGCTCTGCCCGCTACGGGTATCGAAACCCGGTTTCTAGCGTTGTAAGTCCGCAGTCATACCACTGTGCCACTGGAGGGCGGTTGAATTAGTAAATTACTTGGGAATTATTTATTAACTGCAATGTAAGAAGGGAACAGCTTATTACATTACTATGAAAAAATAATCAAAGGTAATATATTTATTTGTTTTGTTAAGAACTATTTTATCAAGAAACACTTTAGAATGCTATATTACTCAATATTTAAGTGTGTATTAGAAATGAATAAAACCCTATAACCCGAGCGCTTTCGAAAGGCGGAGCTTTCTTCTTCAGGCGAAAATTG